TTGATGCCGTATTCTCGGTTGCATATTCCATTAAAGAAATATGTGAAAGAAATCTTTCAACAAAATCCAATGAAGGCATTTCTGTTAAAGATATTTACATCAATCGAGTCACTCCTTCTTCGGTTCTGTTAAACATTTTTAACGTCACATTCCAAAGCGTGGCGAACCATACCGTATCATTCGACAGCGATGGTGACGCAAATGGACACTACGATATAATTAACTTCCGTAAAGACGGATTAACCACGACCTTTTTGACGATCGGTGAATATAATGGCAAAACAGGATTGTTAACCTTTCAAAACGAGACGATCCATTGGCCGGGTGGATTCAAGTCACCCCCGTTCGGACACTGTAGCGTAGAATGTTCGCCAGGCACCTACAAGGTAATTTTAAAGCCAGTTTGTTGTTGGATATGTAAGCCGTGCCCTGCTGGAAGTGTGAGCAACGCATCAGGTGTATGTACGCAGTGCCAATGGGGAAAAATCCCAAACAGAAACAAAACTAAATGCGTTGTCATTCCCGTGATTTTCCTTCGCTGGGAGAGTGCTTGGGCGTGGTCTCTAATCGGAACCATAATCCTCTGCGAGTCTCTCTGTGTCTTTACAGTAGTTGTATTTCTGCGTTACAAGGAAACTCCTATTGTTAAAGCCGCCAACCGAGAAATAAGCTTTTTGCTGTTGTTTGGTTTATTGGCGGGTTTTTTAATTCCTTTAGCGTACATCGGAAGGCCAACAGACATAAATTGTAAGATACAGGCTATTTTATTTGGTGCAAGTTTTTCATTCTCTTTATCGATGATATTAGCCAGAATTAATCGAACTGTTGTAGTTTTTAGATATAGCAAAGTTACTCCACGGAAAAAATCAAAATTCTTGCGGAGGTATCTGGGTCTGTTCCTGTATAACCGGACTCAAATAATGTTAGCACTGTTTTTCACCGTTCTAGAGCTTTTGCTCTGTTTCGTATGGCTTCTGTCAAGTCCACCTCGGGTCACAATTCGCCGGCTCACGATTAGTGAAAACTTAGCGATGTGCGAGGTAGTGCCGAATTTCGGACACATTGCCTCAAACGCTTTTATCATTTTTCTAAGTCTTCTTTGCACCTTTGTAGCCTTTAAGTCAAGAAAATTACCACAGAATTACAACGAGGCAAAGTTCATTAGTTTTGCTATGTTTGTATTTAACTGCATCTGGCTAACTTTTGTTGGTGCATTTTATGGAACTCCAGATGGCTATCACAATGTTATTATAAACTGTTTCGCAATTATAGCTTCCAATTTTGCTATCTTTGCTCTGGTATTTGGGCCAAAACTTTACATAATCCTTTTTCGACCTAGTTTAAATCAAATGCAGGTCTTTCGGGCATTGACCGCTCGGTATACGTTCAGATCGAGCCGACGAAGCTCAGCCTTGACTTCGGGCGACATGATGGGGAGTTCCTACGTAATGAAAGAGAACAAGTATGTTCAGACTTGTAGTGCAATGAATTCGGAGGAATCAGAGAACAAAGGAGGACCTTTTACTTGTTCGGGAACCCCAAATATTCGTTACGCCAAACCTAACAAAGCAACATTGAAATCAAGACAAAAACCTGACGAAAACGTGCTTTTAAAGGAAGTACGCATCTGCAAACTGTGCCGTCCTAACAGGAGAGCTGCTTCGGACAGTGCCTTGAACAGACCTAGTGAAGACTTCGGGGACTTAAGGACATTTCAAAGACATTTGTTGATTCATGGAGGTTGTTGCCAGCTCAGAACACGAAGAGATGAGGTTAGCCACGTCGAAAAACAACCACTGAATGACAGAGACGACATTAACCAAGAAAACTGTTTTGCAGAAGACTTTTTATCACTAACTGACAAGGACAAATTCGAGCGTGAAGAAAACCTGTTATGCCGAATTTCCTACACACCAATTCAAGCAAACTATTCTCTTGCTAGCGATTCCATGTCAAATCTATGCTTGATTCCTTTGTCAAGGAAGAAACACTCATTTTGCCCTACAAACTACCAGATCAATTGCAAGTACAGAGGAATTAAAGAGAGCCATGTTTAGCGCTTCTCCTTAACTGCTTACAATTTTTGTTGAAATCGAAATACGGAGGTGCGACTGCATGGGGGAGAAGTCCTGAGTGGCCGAAGGCGACAAGCCTCCTAAAGGGGTCCGCCCCATCCCCGAATGAAATCTGGTGCATTTTGAGACACAATTTTGAGAAATGTTATAGTGTGTGCACCTACCTCGTCGCGTCTTAATGATTTTTTCGATATAGTTACTTATATACTGTAATGATAATGGGGGGGGGGGGGGGGGGTGGAAGCTTCTACCCCTCAAATACCCTAGACAGAACCCTGCACATTTAAAAATGTGGCAATACCGTAAAATTTCGAAAATAAGCCCCTCCAAAACTCCCCCCTAAAATCGTAACACAAAAACCCTCCGTTAAATCGCCCCTCCAAATATAAGCTCCCCCGGGTGCTTGTACTTGGAAATTGCCCTCAAATACAAAGTAAAACAAGGCAAAAACGGTAAATTTTCCTCCAACTATAAGGCTAATTTCCCTCTGTATATAAGCCCCTCCGAATATAAGCCCCTCCAAAACAGGGCCTTTGAAAAATATAAGCGCTGGGGCTTATTTTCGGAATTTTACGGTATTTTAACAAACTGTGTTAGAGAAACTTAAGCTAGTAATGAAATAGTACATCTTGTTTATCATCAGCTTTCAGCTTACAAGCCTGCTAACTCATTATTTTTCATAGATTTTGATTGGTTATCATGGGCTATTTCTTTGAATTTCCGGTTGGCTAATAAGATTTTCTACTTGATTTTCATTGGCTGTTTAACTGTCCGATTTGACGTGTCAAATTACTAGAAGCTGGTATAATACGACAGGTCAAATCGGGCAGTTTTGGTGTTGCAATAACAAAATTAAGGAATAAATATAGGATTTAAGAGCCAATACGATTTGAGCATTTTGTTGTTGACACAATTAAAGCATGAAGTGCGACCGCTCCAATTAACAGAAGTTACTGTTTTTCAGGCAACTCGCAACATTATTTTAGCCTGTGATCTTTATTTATCCACTATGATACTGTTAATTTAAAGCCTGTTCACAGACCTTCTATTTTCTCTTGAGAGACTGTATGAAAACAAAAACTGACCGCCAGCGCAAGGAAAAACGTCTGTAGATAGGCTCAATTTAATTCGCAGTAATTTTACAATAAAATGTGAATTTCATTCAAATTTTCATGAGACGAAAATAGTTATGACAAAATAGTAATGAAGATGTTTAAATTTTAAATAGCCGCTTTCTTTGAACTTTTTTTGGCTATTTTAGAATTTCTATCCGTACTTTCTTAGATCTATTTTTGAATTGCTTATCGAGAAACTCCGCCAAATATTGACAGGGCGACGGTGTTTACGCAAGTTTTAGCAATTGATATGAGCACATATTTCATTGCTTGATGTGTTCACAAGGTAACTGTCTTTAGACAGTAGTCTTCAATGAGGTTAAATAAAAAAAACTGAAAACAAGGAAGAAATTAGGGACAGAAAAACAAGCATTTCTTGTTAATGTTTTCTTGCTAAGTAAACACTATCTGTTTTTGGAACTACATCCGTATTTTAATAAATACGAAACACTTCATAAATGTTATATCAGATGTCCAACAAAATTCAAAACTGTAAAATAAGTAAAATCCGCAGTCTTCTTGAATAAACTTAGCCCGAACTAGGCGCAATTGCTGCTTTTAAGATGCTAAAAGGGCCAAAACTGTGATAATTAAGCTCCAAACGGATGTTGTAAGTTATCAAAAGATAAAAGGAAAACATTCACTTGGTGTAAAAAGTGCCCAATTAGTCCTTTTTGGTGTTTGTATAAAAAACCGTCATCTGAATATCTTGGTAATTATACTCAAGCTGGCAAATTCGAGAGGCTCTTTACGTCTAATTTGAGCACTTTTTCTGCCTTTGCGCGGTTAACGTAATTGGCGCCAAAGCGACAAATTTCCCGCCTAAATCACAAGCGTTTGTCAATTGAGGCAGCAAGAAGGCGACAGCGGTACTCTTTGTATGCAGATAACAACATAAACGAAACTCCTGAATAGGTTTTATTTTTTTCCTTTTTGCCATGTACTTGCGAACTAAGTTTTGAAATGACTACCTTTTTAGACAGCTGTAATGTTTTTTTTCTTCAAGCGATGGATTTGGTAAAAATTGCTCTCGAAGCGAATGCCTCAGTGTCTACTTACGTATAAAAAGCCGTAACTTAATTGCAACCGGTGGCTAAAATTCTGTTATAATACACAGGAAAACCTTTCGAATTTTTTTTAAAGCTTTAACAAAGGATTTCTAATATTTACAGCCAAACTACTTCAAACAAGAATTTGATTATTTTCAAAGAGAACAAAATTAGCAAGCTACGCCTTTGAGTCTAAGTCGGGAACTTTGTAAGCAGAGGTGTTTCTGCGAGAAAATTTCAACATTTTTTACTTATTTTGAAAAGAAATATTAATAACCCATCCATTAAAAGTCTCTTTTGAAACGGCGCCGGACGGGCGGGGAAAACACAAAGGCTATGTTACTGATGTAAAAAAATAAAATTTTGTCGCAGTTATCCGGGTCACTTGGCCAAGGTGATTCATCGCGTTTAAACCTCCAGTTTTCATTTTAAGCTCTAGCGGCCACTACCCACCGCTTCGATTCTAACGACCAGAAATTGATGCTCTACAAAGGTCACTGGTGGTTAGTAGAGCGAATTTAATGTATTTTCCTTCAAGAAGCTTTGAATATTTTACGTCTACTATCATTCATTGATTACAAGAGAACGACGGGTTCGGAGCGTCACATTCAAATTCTGTCAGCCAATCACTGAGAGCTTGCAGGAGAACAAAGCCCACTTCTTTCTTTTTTTTCAAAAAAAAAACTGTGTTTTCCCCGCGCAGCATACAAGACAGGCCCGGAGCAATTGTTTGCGGTTGGTTTATTATGGAAAGTTTAAGAATGCAGACAAAGAAGACGAGCCGACGAATCCTTTTGGTTGTATTCGCCGTAGCAATATTCCCCACTGTGCGAGGTTAGTAAAGCAATTAACGGGAAATTTAGGTAACCCAGATGAAAACTCTCTACTATAAAGCGCGCGCCGAGCCCTGTACATTCAAATAATGAGATATGCAAAATGCTTTTGGAAATTAAAAATTCAGGTGTAACAGGGATATAAACTCAGTACAATACAGCCGCTTTATTTTTATCACCACAGCCGCGTTAGGTCCTCTTTCAGTGGCTGGTAGCCCTGTTCAGGTTACGTTTTTGAGAATTTGCGTTTACTTTTAAGTGGTTAATGCGTAAGGTTAAAATACCAATGACGGAAACAAAAGCAACGCGCTATCATTTAATTTTCCGTCCGTGTTGTCATAATAACAAAACTACATAGACAAGTTCTACTTGTAAATGACCCGCAAAACAACCACCGTGGCGTTTGTGAAAGACCAGTTAAGTGTTAATACTACACCTGTCGCAATTCTCATTCCTTTCACTGCCCCTCGCGTAAAATATGATGTGTATTTTTTGCTCTCTATACCCGCTTTTTGAACATAAACTTTCCGAAAAACTAGCTAATGCTCGTTGCCTTTTAAAGGGAGCGACAGATAAAAAAAGAAAACTTTTTCGTAAAAGTTATCACCATCAAATATGTATGTTTTTTTGATCAGGTAAACTAGTCGTACGGTTTGCTTTTCCGTAAATTCATACGTTCATTCGTAAACCTAAGACAAGGAAGAAAAATATCTCAGTATTTTACGTAAATTCCTGATCATAACCCATATCATTTGCTAATGTTTACTCGAGCTTAAAATTTGTCCTCCTAGAGAAATATTAACCTTTTGTGTCGACGCAGACTAGAGAGATAAAGGACAAAATAGAAAATAGATGCTAATTTCTTTAAGATGCAGGAAATAAACAGATATAAAACTCGGACTTGTTTCTTGTCCATATTGGTCGTTTTGTGTTTATACGCGTGCCTTTTATTTAAAGTCAATAATACTTATATTGGTCTTGTTAAAGTTTGCAAGAGTTATACTCTTTTATTAATTAAGGATCCTCGACTCGGCAAACATTACTTTTATCTATTAAAATTCTGGTGGGCAATGGCTTTGTTTGTACTGCAATGAAAAAGAAACTTTCTTTTATTTAGTTTGTTTCCAGGGCCTCGGGGAGTGTCGTATACCCACGCCGGATAGTCTGTCCTTTCGATAAAGTTTTTAGGAGACCATACCGATGTTTTTCACTCACCTTAAAAGTGATTTTATCCTTGTCCGATCGCTACAGCATTTTCACCAGTGATTGTTGACTATGAATTGAAGTTTGTCAAAAAGCAGTTTTTGGTAAAATCGATATCACTATGACAACAATAAACAAAAAAAACTTTGAAATCGAAAAAAACCCGAATTTTGCGCGATACCTGCTACTTAAAATCCGACACCAAGAACTTAAAGTGTGGTGTTTAGCAAATAACCTCCGTGAGAAGTAAAAAATTCTGAATGTTTGAATTCAAATAAATAAAATAAATAAATAAATAAATAACGATTTGCAGGTAGAACATCCACAAAGTGGTTCTTCGTCTACCTGATTCCTGGTCGAATTGGAATTTGGAAATGTTGGTTTTTTGAGGAGAGGGGAAAACCGGAGTACCCGGAGAAAAACCTCTCGGAGCAAGGGAGGGAACCAACAAGAACAAAAAAAATAAAACGAAAGTATAAAGGTATTTCACATGACCTTATGTTTTCTTTAACATTTTTAGCACGATTTTTATGCTTCTGTAATTCACCTTCGTGCCCACAAGCAGTCTGCGAATCAAGTCAGCGGTGTTTCACCAAACTACGCAAAGAAGCCAAGGATGATGGAAACGTTTCGTCGAGTATTTTGTACGGATGCAGCGAGGAGTTGAACTCAAGTGACGTCTGCACAGAGTCTTCCTTTACGTTGTGCTGTGATAGACAGCTCTGTAATATGCCAAACATGTTAAGAAGTAAGTGTTTCTATAAGAAAGATGTTTTTTTTTTCCAGTCGGTAACACAGGTGACTCGAGTACTCCAAACTGAAGTCGTACCTATGACCTCTAGGTAACTAGTCCAGATGCTCTACCAGTCCACTTAGCTACAAGAATCTAGTGGGAGCGGAGGCCACTAAACTAGTTTCATGTGACAAACATCCTGCATACTGCTAGGACTGGAATGTCGATAAGTATTTCGAATAAAGAAACGTTTAACGAAGGAACTACGAAACAAACCAGAACAAAACTAAAGATTTTTTGTTGAGTTGATTTGCCAGACAAATGATGGCACAACGACATAAGGACAGTAATTCAAGCTCGTCATTTTTCAGTAAACTGAATTAATTATTTTGCAAAAGGGAAAAAAACAGCCTTCATATAAATGTAAATGTGGTTTGCGAATTTATGGGAACTTTTTCTTTCCTCAAAAACATCAAAACATGCTTGTTTTCTCCTTCTTAAAATATTTGAAGTAGAATTTGTGGGCGTCTTATTTGTTGCTTAACAATTTTTTCGAAATTTTATTTCAGAAGTAACAAACTTCCATCAAAGAAGATATGCCTTGCATACTACGCAATCCCCAAAGGTCAACAAAAATGTATCGTGTGCGTGTTCATCTTCTTCGCCTGCAATGCGTGTGGCCAGCGTGGCAGCGCCGAGCTTGTTGATTTTAACTGTTGTCCTTTTGTCATTAGCAATGTGTCGTAAAATGTCTCATTACCAGAGAAAGAAAAATGCGCAGATGAAAAGCAATGTAAAGTTAAAAGACAGGGAAATCTCTGAGGACTTGGATATCCCACAATTCGTTGCAACGCGAAGCACAAGTATGAGTTCATCTGAGTACAAAGAATTAGTTTCCAATCCTTACAGCGTTTAAGGAGAGTGGGGGAGGCCTGGACTGATATTATCTATTAAGGAAATTTATTGCATAAACTGGGAAATCATACGTATAACGAAAAGAAAGTATTCAGTCAGCTCATTTAGGAGGTCTACAGAAAATTCACTTTGTTTTGACCTTTACCTGCAATAGATTTTAATTTTATTTTTATTTAGTTTCGCCAACAAAGGGCTAAGTCAATAATGGAAAAAAATCAATTTAGCTTTCAGGGAAATTGACCACCTACCCCTCCCCTAGTCAGCATTAACCCTTACATCTAACTTATTTCAAGGCAAAATGTTGCCTTAGGGGAGGGGTCGGAGGTCAGTTTCGATCCCAGAAACCTAAATTACCTAGAAAACTCTCTTTCACGTGAAAAGTTTTCCAGTTGGCCTTAATTTGAAAAGGAAGGTTTTTTGGAAATCGGCAATGGCCTATATGAAGGATAAAGCTATCGCCTTGGTTAATCTCCACTTAAAAATCGTATGTTTTTTTTTCCAGTCGGTAACACAGGTGACTCGAGTACTCCAAACTGAAGTCGTACCTATGACCTCTAGGTAACTAGTCCAGATGCTCTACCAGTCCACTTAGCTACAAGATTCTAGTGGGAGCGGAGGCCACTAAACTAGTTTCATGTGACAAACTGATCCTGCATACTGCTAGGACTGGAATGTCGATAAGTATTTCGAATAAAGAAACGTTTAACGAAGGAACTACGAAACAAACCAGAACAAAACTAAAGATTTTTGTTGAGATGATTTGCCAGACGAATGATGGCACAACGACATAAGGACAGTAATTCAAGCTCGTCATTTTTCAGTAAACTAAATTAATTATTTTGCAAAAGGGAAAAAAACAGCCTTCATATAAATGTAAATGTGGTTTGCGAATTTATGGGAACTTTTTCTTTCCTCAAAAACAACAAAACATGCTTGTTTTCTCCTTCTTAAAGTATTTGAAGTAGAATTTGTGGGCGTCTTATTTGTTGCTTAACAATTTTTTCGAAATTTTATTTCAGAAGTAACAAACTTCCATCAAAGAAGATATGCCTTGCATACTGCGCAAGCCCCAAAGGTCAACAAAAATGTATCGTGTGCGTGTTCATCTTCTTCGCCTGCAATGCGTGTGGCCAGCGTAGCAGCACCGAGCGTGTTGATTTTAACTGTTGTCCTTTTGTCATTAGCAATGTGTCGTAAAATGTCTCATTACCAGAGGAAGAAAAATGCGCAGATGAAAAGCAATTTAAAGTTAAAAGACAGGGGAAGCTCCGAGGACTTGGATAACCCACAATTCGTTGCAACGCGAAGCACAAGTATGAGTTCATCTGAGTACAAAGAATTAGTTTCCAATCCTTATAGCGTTTAAGGAGAGTGGGGAAGGCCTGGACTGACATTATCTATTAGGGAAATTTATTGCATTAAACTGGGAAATCATACGTATAACGAAAAGAAAGTATTCAGTCAGCTCATTTACGAGGTCTACAGAAAAGTCACTTTGTTTTGACCTTTACCTGCAATAGATTTTAATTTTATTTTTATTTAGTTTTCGCCAACAAAGGGCTAAGTCAATAATGGAAAAAAATCAATTTAGCTTTCAGGGAAATTGACCACCTACCTCTCCCCTAGTCAACATTAACCCATACGTCTAACTTATTTCAAGGCAAAATGTTGCCTTAGGGGAGGGGTCGGAGGTCAGTTTCGATCCCAGAAACCTAAATTACCTAAAAAACTCTCTTTCACGTGAAAAGTTTTCCAGTTGGCCTTAATTTGAAAAGGAAGGTTTTTTGGAAATCGGCAATGGCCTATATGAAGGATAAAGCTATCGCCTTGGTTAATCTCCACTTAAAAATCGTATGTCATTCGTGCAGATAAATTGCTTCTAATACAACTCAGCAACAAGGAGTTGGAAATTATCAGAACAAATTTCGTCCAAATATGCTCTATAAAGGACGCTAAATAAGTAAAAGAGCTCACAACAATAAGTGACAAATCATTCAACACCCTTAGCATGCGAACTGGTAACAGTGACGGTAGGTGGTAGAAAATGGTCACATTATTTCTTAATTTCTTAGTCCGCCTTTTGATATATAATGGTAATAGGACTGAGTGGAGTCCAATTCCGACCCAATTAGACGACACGAAATTCTGTTACCAATTAATCATAACTATAACAAATTTTGTGATATATTAGGCTTTTTAAATCCAAACACAAGAAATTCCGAGATTTTTCTCGTTGGCAGTGAAAAAAAGCCATTTAAGTGCGAGCGTGTGATGGCGCGTACTGTCCAATTACTTACTAGGCTTGACGTGTAATGTCCTATTATACTGTCCTATTAGTGCTGAAATCAGGGCAGTTGATAGCCAATCAGATCTGAGAAATTTTTGATAGTTATGATTAACACTCAGAATTTGTACGACTGAGGAGTAAACGCTCTACTTAGGATAAATAAATGTGGTATCTAATATTTGCCCGTATGGTATCGTTGCTTGATAAAACAAAAGGTTGTGATAATGTACGAAAGTGGACCAGCAGATCTAGGCTGATAAATGCCTTGATAATTACACAATTTCTCCTCACTAGTGCCATGAGAAGTGTAAGGGGATCAGTTAAGAGAATATACATATTGATTACATGGCTATAGGTAAAGAGTAACTCAACAGCAGCTTCATTAAACAATGTTGGCCGTAGTCTTAAAAAGGGTACACTTGTGCTTACTTTTATAGGTTTAAGGTGTATTAAAAGGCAAACTAGGTCAAACCATTTATTCTATTAACAAATTGATTATTTGAAAAAAAAAAGCAATTTGTCATTGCCGAGATCAGATTCACTTCTGCATACCTAAATGCGTACTTTCTCTCACCTCAAATTTCTTGAATTTCGGCTATAAATAAGAATCTGCAAACACACTAATCTCCTAATTGACCGAATAATGAAAAGTTGTAGCTTTAACAATGTCAACTGCTCATCTGATTCGAGAAAGGAATTGAGGCGAATGCAGATTTGAATTTTATAGCAGCGGCAACGGCAAATGGATACAAGTTTCTATCGCTTAATATTAAATACTAAGAATAGAAATAGTAATAGTAATTATTATTATTATTATTATTATTATTATTATTATTACTTTTGCGTATTTAAATGTAAATTTCTTTAGGTTGTAAATGAAGTGAGAAAGGTCAGTATAGTTAATATTTATATCCTATATACAGAAGATGTACATACTCACGTGCGTATTATGTACTTACATAGAAGGCTATTTAATTCAGTGAACAGTCAGTCAATTATTCAGTAAAGCAAACTAAAGAGACTAATTAACAATTATTCAACTAGAGGTAATCACTGATTACGGATCCGCGTTCGTCACTTACGGAAACGAAATGGAGTTGAAAGAAGTCCAGTTTCGCGGCCAAGATGCCCCTGATAAAATCAGTAGGGGCGGTTAATCGGCAGTCGCTCCCGATACCTCGAAACTTTTTGGCCTTGTACCACAGGAACGCCAAGATTAGGATGCGTTCTGACGAACGCGATGAGGCTGAGTATGATGTGAAGAATTATGTAGATCGACGAGAATCATTTCATGATCTCAGTCCACCAAGGCTGAAGGCCGAGGAGGATAAAATCCTCCGAGATCAGCACAATCCTTTACATGATACTAAAGCCGAATTCAAAAATTTTTATGTATTCATTCAAATGTTTCTATTCTAAGTTTTTAATAAACTTACCTTCTCTTAGACTTTTCTTCAAAACTTTGGCCTATTTCATAGCTAGGATATGAGCAGATGATTTTTCTTGCAGATACTCCTAAAAAGTCTTCCTTTTAGTTTTAGTCAGAAATTCAGAAAGTCTTCGGATATCCGCGAACCCTATTTTTTTTTAATTCACTCAGAAATTAATAGCTACACTTAAAATTGAAGGCAAGACTGATCGAACAGTTAAGGTTTACAAATTTATTTGCCCAATATTTCAACTAGACAAAACTAGTCTTCATATCATCAAGTGAGAATAGAATGAACGGTTAGAGTATATAAAATAATACAAAAATAAAATTGATTGGTGGAGGAATACAATGGACGAAAACTTGTATGTAGAGGTAACATAAAAATATATGTCAATAGATAAAATTTCATCTCGTCTGTTTATCCCATAGAGTTCAAGTGTTTTGCCTTAAGATATTCAAAATCCTTCGCGGTTCTTACGGATACCGTCCCTGTCTGAATAAATTAGTTCTACTGGAATGAGTTCTATGTCTCTGATGGAATGATCTGGAAGGGAGAAGTGGTCTTAAACGGCAAAGTACGCCGTATTCCACGCAGCCACGACCTCGTCCTGTTTATCAAGAATTAGCCCTGGGATTTGAGTCAATGAGAAATGACGAAATATTTTCAAAGAATGATAAGGAACATTATATAATCACTTCAATATAGTTTCTGTTATAACGCGTCCAGGTAAAAGAACCTCGGAAAGAAATTTAGCTCCAGATGCTAGTTTTCGATGGGCTAGTGTGAAATCAGTCGAAATAAACTATATTCGGAAAAGCTAGTGTGGACGCAGAGCCCTAGAAGTTTTCTTTTGTAAGGCGAATTGTGCAACCAGAACAGAGCCTGATAAGATGAATGAAATAATAGACAAGTTTAAAATTCGAAGGTTTGCCGAAATTGAAGGAAAATGTCGACGTGGATTTTTAATGACATGAGTTGGAATTAGATTCGAAAACAGATCCAGTTTTGTTCAGGTTTACCCCTCCGACTCAACTCCATGTACTTCAACCGACACTCGCATACATAAATAATATGTTTTCTTTTATTGCCGTGAATACTGTTATTCAATTTATTTGCATAGACTGTGGCATATGGCAATATCATATTCAAATTTTGAAATTATGCGCTCGCTCGTTCCATGTTAAAAAAAAAAAGACAGCTTTTTTGTTTTAAATCGATTTCGGCCGTTAATTAATTCCGCACAAGTAACAGCGTGGCTCCCNTTCAACCGACACTCGCATACATAAATAATATGTTTTCTTTTATTGCCGTGAATACTGTTATTCAATTTATTTGCATAGACTGTGGCATATGGCAATATCATATTCAAATTTTGAAATTATGCGCTCGCTCGTTCCATGTTAAAAAAAAAAAGACAGCTTTTTTGTTTTAAATCGATTTCGGCCGTTAATTAATTCCGCACAAGTAACAGCGTGGCTCCCATCGTCAACGCCATTGAAATTTCTTTACAAAAGATTTGTTTATACGGCTTTCATCTTCATGATAAAGAAAAAGTTTGCTATTGAAAGTTCAAGGGTGTTTAGTTTGAGGATGACAAAAGTAAATATGGCGTCGTTAAAAACTAATATCATCGTTTAATTGTCAAGGTCAAACTAAATGTCCGCAATAAAGGGCAAGCTAATGAAGCTGTGCTTAGACTTCTTTATTCAACTTTCCTAGCGAGCCCTTGGTCAGAGAATAAACTCAGTTTAGATTACTTAACTGATATTATGCGAAATTTAGCCTTTTTGGTTCGCCGTAGATTTTTGTCTTGAAATCACCTGCGGCAGGGCACACTATGATAACATCGACATAATCAATTCACTTTTTAAATTGGCGGCTATCATCCAGTCAAAAGGCACGGAAAATTTTGGGTAGATATTGGGCGAAGGTGTTCGTATTTACAACACCTTTATGAATCTCCAATTAGGTGGAATTATTTTGCGCTATTCGATGAACATAGAGGGATTTTTTTAAACTGCTCTACTAAGGTAAGAACCAGTGACGACTTTTAGAAACGTATTATGTATCAGTTGTAAAAGCATGGCACGGAAAATATCAGACCGCAACACAATGCAACTGTTCGTAACATCCGGATGCGAGGCAATTACTATTCTTTTTAAGTTATCGAGCAGTTGTATCTAACAAACAATGGCAATGGGAACATTTTTCGATGAAAAATGAAAAAGAACCTTTCACACGAAAGCTTCTTGTCGTCAGAATCAGATTTCATTACCTACGACAGACAACGGTTAATTTCTTGTACTCCTTTATATTTGACTGTGAAAACATAAAAAAAAACAAAAACATATCAATGCAGTAGAAAAAATTCTTTTCTTACTTGTTATTTTTTTATCTCAACTAAAGAAAAAACGAGCCCACAATCACTGATGGATATTACAAAATATAGACAGTTTCGGAATTTGACTTCTAAACACTGAGACTAGTATACATAAACTGAGTTAATAATTTGTGTCCATCTTAAACGCAAGTGCTTGTGTTGCAAAACGTAAATAGAAAGCATAGGCAAACTCGGTTTTGATTGTATACGTGCAATTTGAAGTAAAATATAATCACGATCTACTCAACTATGATTTTTAAATTCCAACCTGCGTATCTCAGATAGTAACACAACACGAAAAACATATATCTTTACTGAAACTTTCACTACTGAATGAAAAAAGCATAAATCAGAAAAAAATATCTTTTTTCTATCTTTTTATTCAATTTGGATTTGCCATGCATATCCCTTTATCTGGTATAATCCTATTGAGCGACAGACAATCAATGCGCTTAATACAAGAAAAGGGTGCTCGTATTGGTCGTAGTAATTTACATAGTTGACTTGTTCAAGTCCATCCTTTGACGTCATAAAACGCCGCAGAACAAAATATTAATTTCAGGTAAGGTTTTCTCTCAGTAAGAACCCCATTATATTCATGCCAAACCTTTGGGAAAACGAGTTATTTTGGAAAAAAGGCTTTTTGGATCAGTGACAATTCCGCCTTAGTCAGTCTGCTGCGAATGTAAATATAAAGACGGTGAGTGACTAGAATCAAATCCCTTTAAATGATAAATATCTCCTAACAAAGCTCGCTAAAAGGTCGCAAGACAGAATTTTAGTAACCAAATTTGATTTGAAAAAGGAAAGGCATGACCAAACATACGGGTTTTTTTTCTAGATTACTAAGATAGAATCATTGTATTTTTCAAATAATAATGACGGTGAAACATGAACATATGAGAAAGTTTATCTAGTAATCTTTATGTCGCAGTAAAAATTGGGCCACATTTTCTAAAATTTCCTCGGCAACGAAGTGATTTAGAGACAGTTCATAGTGACTTAGGTTGAAACATATTGACTTTCGTCAAGTGGACTGTGTTGAAAATTTATTTTTAAATGAAATTAATGGCCATAACCTAAAATTTTCGTTTTGTAGACTTGGTGTTCAACAAAGTTTTTACATTAAAAGGCCAGGGGAAAAAAAAACTTTTTCCCTTTTATACTCGGTAAATCCCAAGAGTCTGTTTAGTAATCAATATGTAAGTAAAAGATAAATTTACATTTGAATGCGATATGATTATTTAACAAAAATTGCAAGTATTTTGAATATAAAAGAATACGAGACTTAACTCCCCAAAAGATACAAAGTATAAAATATAAATTGATCGTTTTTTTTTCAAAGTGTATATTGGAGTTCTTCATTGAGTCAAACGAATACTTTACAGCCAATATTTTCTGACATGTTTTATTTGCTGTTCCATACACAAATGCAAGCACGAAAGAGACCAGTTCTCATAAGAAGACTATATCTCTATAAAATATTCAAACAATGAGTTTAATGTGTTTATCACGCTTCGATTCTTTCTTAGTTTGTTGTTTCATAGAAAGGAACGGCTCAACTTGGCTTAGGCTGGCTTGTTTAATTTTGTCGGTTGTTGCGTTGGCCCCTGTGCGTCTTTATGTTTTAAATAGTTAGCTTTTTTATTCGAGAATTGTGTACCGTTCAAACAATTGGCTGATGCGTAATATTACGAAGTGAATGATTTAACCTTAAGTGTGACACTGTGACTGTCATTCATACTGTAAGTGGTATGTGACTTAGCTATCTTTCATATATAAACGTATCACACAGAAATTGTCGTCTCGAGAGCGACCTCGTGGTACCCATTCTTTTAAACCTTATCTATGCATCCAAGAAATTTTGCCTCTGAAAAAATCGTCAGTACGTACGTCCGCCCCTATCTGTTAGCGTATGTGAAATGTCGTACTTACGAGCATAGAATGAAGGCGTATACAAATTGTTTTTAACTTGATATTGGACATCCTTCAAAGTTATGATCAATTGACGGCTGTCAAAATAAGGTATCCGCTAGCCAGTGTCACATGACTGTATCGCGAGTTCATGTGTTCAATTCATTGAGGTAACGTGTTTTTTTAAAGTTACTTCAGAAATACATTTCTTAAAGTTCTCACGAGAGCTTCGCTTTTGGCCTTGGCTAAATAAATTATTGAGTGTTTCTTCATTTTCTTACTCTTAAAGGATTGCGAATAAGTTGCACCTGACAGGAACAGCGAGATTCATTTTCACTCAAATTTAAAGAAATCAGTCTCGGCTGGGGCCGGGAAACGTCGAGATTGGGAAGAGTATATTTGGATCAACCTGTCACAAGCAAATTTCACTGTCAGCCGTCACCTTGTGGTTTTGCATGCGTATTGCGCGCTCTGAACGCTGGAGCCTGAGGCGAGAGTTAAGGTCCTGTCGCTTCTTTTGGCGTGTGGCTTCTTTTCTATAATTATGTTTATTGTTGGTGCAGCTCACATGCTTTGTTATTCAGAGAGGAAATTATCAGCTGTACGGGCTGTTCTGT